AAATCGAAGTTAAAACAAACTTTTCAAAACCCACAAGCACAAAGAAAACATTTTGAAAATGATGAGCAAGTACCTAAGAGCCCATAGATAACTACGGATAGAAAGGGTGATAATACCTTCCCTTTCTATAATTTACCCCCCGTACTCAGAAATAATCTCAAAAAAGGAATTTTTCTGTGCTTTTTTCCTTTCCTTGTTGGATAAAATAAAAGTCGGTGGCGACTCTTGCTTACGGCGACATTTTGCAAAAACAAACGCAAAACGCAAACCAGCATTTCAAAAACAGTCAGTTCTTCCCACCGTATCACAGGCACCATACAAGATGTCTACATCTGAATTGTCAGAATTAAAGAAGCAATTGAAAGAGTTACTTGAAAATAAATTTGTAAGACCAAGTGTATCGTCGTGGGGAGCTCTAGTGTTGCTAGTAAAGAAGAAATATGGTAGTATGAGACTTTGTGTTGATTATAGACAATTGAATAAAGTGAATATTAAGAATAAGTATCCGCTTCCAAAGATAGATGACTTGATGGATCAATTGGTGGGTGCTCGAGTTTTTGTAAGATTTATTTGAGGCCGGGTTATCATCAGATTAAAGTGAAGGATGAAGAATTCCAAAAGAAGGATTTCAGAACGCGTTATGGACATTATGAGTATTCAGTGATGCCTTTCAGTGTTACTAATGCGCCGGGAGTATTCATGGAGTATATGAACCGTATCTTTCATACTTATTTTGATCGGTTTGTAGTGGTGTTCATTGATAACATTTTGATTTATTCTAAATCGGAAGAAGAGCGTGTAGAACATTTAAGAATAGTATTGCAAGTTTTGAAAGAGAAGAAGTTGTATGCAAAATTGTCTAAGTGTGAATTTTGGTTAAAGGAGATTAATTTTCTTGGTCATGTTATCTCAGGTAGTGGTATTGTTGTAGATCCATCTAAATTAGATGTCGTGTTGCAATGGGAAACTCCAAAATTGGCTACCGAGATTAGAAGCTTTTTGGGATTAGCTGGTTATTATAGAAGGTTTATATAAGCTTTTTCTAAGTTTTCACTTTCGTTAACTAATTTGAATTGTAAAGGTAGAGCTTTTGTGTGGGATGTTCAGTGTGAAGAAAGTTTTATAGAATTAAAGAAAAGATTGATGTCGAATCTGATTTTGACATTACCTAATCCAGGAGAACCTTTTGTGGTATATTGTGATGCTTCCAAGATGGGTTTAGGAGGTGTGCTTATGCAGAATGATAAGGTACTTGTTTATGCATAAAGGCAATTGAGAACTCATGAGAAGAACTATCCTACGCATGATTTAGAACTTGCTGCAGTTGTTTTCGTGTTGAAAATTTGGAGGCATTATCTCTATGGCTCTAGATTTGAAGTATTTTGCGACCATAAGAGTTTAAAGTATTTATTTGAACAGAAAGAATTGAATATGAGACAACTAAGCTGGTTGGAGTTGTTGAAAGATTATGACTTCAATTTGAATTACCATCTAGGAAAAGCGAATATGGTGGCTGATGCGTTAAGTCGAAAGACTTTACATATGTTGACAATGATGGTTAAAGAGTTGGAATTAATTGATCAGTTTAGAGATATGAGCTTAGTTTGCAAAGTGACACTGCAGAGTGTTATGTTAGGAATGTTGAAAATTAACAATGAATTTCTGGACAGTATCAAAGAAGCTCAGAACTTAGACGTGAAACTGGTAGATTCGATGGTTAGAATCGATCAATATGAGAGTAATTTCAAGTTAGATGCGCAAGGTGTGTTGAGATTCCGTAATCGAATTTGTATTCCTGATGACGCGGAGATGAAGAAAGTGATTCTTGAGGAAAGTCATAGAAGCAAGTTGAGTATTCATCCGGGAGCTACAAAAATGTATCAAGATTTAAAGATTTTATTTTGGTGGCCTGGAATGAAGAGCGATGTGGCTCAGTTTGTGTATGCATGTTTAACATGTCAGAAGTCGAAATTTGAACATCATAAGCGTGTAGGGTTGATGTAGCCATTAGAAGTTCGAGAATGGAAATGGGATAACATTTCGATGGACTTTGTGGCAGGGTTATCTAATACTTCAAGAGGACATGATTCGATTTGGGTGATTATTGATAGGCTTACAAAGTCAACTCATTTTATTCCTATTAACATCAGTTTTCCAGTGCTGAAGCTGACAGAGATTTATACTAGTGTAATTGTAAAGCTACATGATGTTCATTTGTGCATTGTGTCAGATAGAGATCTGAGGTTTACTTCAGATTTTTGGAAGAGTTTGCAAGAGGCGTTGGGTTCTAAGTTGAGGTTGAGTTCGGTGTATCACCCTCAAACGGATGGTCAGATGGAAAGGATTATTCATTCGTTGGAGGATTTGTCGATAGCACGTATTCTTGAGCAGGAAGGCTCGTAGGATACTTATCTTCCATTAATTGAGTTCACTTATAATAGCAGTTACCATTCTAGTATTGAAATGACACCTTTTGAAGCATTGTATGGTCGAAGATGTAGAACTCCTTTGTGTTGGCATGAATATAAGGAAAGCGTAGTACTTAGACCTGAACTTGTTCGAGAAACTATTGAGAAGGTGAAGTTAATTCGAGAAAAGATGAAAGCTTCCCAAAGTAGACAAAAGAGTTATCATGACAAGTGAAGGAAAGATTAAGAATTCCAAGAAGGTTACCATGTGTTTCTGAGAGTTACACCTGTGACTGGTGTTGGGCGAGCATTGAAGTCTAAGAAGATCACTTCTTGTTTCATTGGTCCGTATCAGATTTCAGAAAGAGTTGGGAATGTTTCTTATAGAGTGACTTTACTGCTTAATCTCTCAAATTTGTATGATGGGTTTCATGTGTCACAACTCTGGAAGTATATTTCAGATCCATCTCATGTGATTCATATGGATGGTGTTCAAGTACAAGATAATCTTACTGTGGAGACGATGCCTGTACGGATCACAGATTGTGAAATGAAGACCCTAAGAGGCAAGGAGATTGCTTTGGTGAAAATAGTTTGGTTAGGGGCTGCCGGAGAAAGCATGACGTGGGAGTTGGAAAGCAAGATGCGAGACACCTATCCTGAGTTGTTTGAATCAGATAAATTTTCGAGGACGAAAATATTCTAAGTGGGGGAGAGTTGTAACGTCCAATATTTAATTAAAATATTTTCGAATATTTTTCCGATTAAATTTTCGAATTTGTAAAATGTTGATTTAAGTTGTGTCTTTTTTTAAAATTTATTTATTTGATTAAGTTGTAGAATAATATTAGAATAATACTATTATTTGATATGGGCTTATCTTATTGTTAGAAATAGCAGAAAGGAGGTTTAAAAATTTAAGCCCAATAAGATATAATAACAATAATAGTGTTATTATATTAGTTATTTAGAAATAATGAGAAAGAGAAGTAGCAGTAAGAATAAATATGGGTTTTGACAGTAGAAGAAAATAAGGATTTGGAGAAGAAAGAGATACGTGGAATTTCAAGCAAAAAGGAAAAACTAGGTGCATTCGGAGAGTTAGAACAACCTTCAATCCAAGGTAAGGGTGGGGTTCTGGCTCTATAATAGGGTATGTGATGAATGATAATTGGGATTGGGTTGAGAAATTGTTTCTGATTGTGTTTGAAATTGATATATTGTTGAAATTGAGAGATTATTGAGAACTGTAGTGCTATTTTTCTTCAATTCCATAATTACATCGATACTGTAGCGTTAACTCTTTCTCATGATTACAGTAGCGGCAAGGGCTTAGTAGTATAAGATATATATTGAAAGCGATACAAGTGCCTTTATATATACTTGAAATACTGTAACGGTCGTAAACATGTATATGAGTATCACTTTAACAATATATAAGTACCGTAGCAAAACTAGTTTTATAGAATAGTATTTTGATAGAATAACTAGTTTTATACTATAATGTTAAACTGAAAATCAAGTTAGGTTTACAATATAATAATAAAGATTATATACTACTAATAATAATAATAAGTTAGTTTTATTAGTAAGCTAATTTTTAGGAGTTTTAAACTAGAGATAATTATTTTAGATTAACAAGTTAATTTAAATTATTTTCAATTCGTTAGAATCATCAATATAGTTTTTTTAAGTTATTAAAAGTCATTTTTTATTTGTTTTAAGTAATTATGACATGCTTAGAGTTGTCAGTAGGGTAAGTTGGAGCTTCTAAATAAGAATACATTTTTACTAAATTATTAATATTTTAATTATGAATTTTAGTTAAATTTAGTAGCAGAAAATTAAAAATTTATGTAATTACATAGTAGACTCAATCAATTATTTAGTCTAACATACTTAGTAAATATTTGGTAGTAACTCCAATACCACATTCAATATATTTGCACTAAATAGCAGGATTAATAGTTGTAGCATAAAGTAGCATGTTTGACCATTAACAAAAGTAACAATTAGATTGAAACTAATATATATGTAGTAGGACAATATTAATTGATATGTAGTATACATGTAGCATAAGGTCATAATAACATATTAGTGATTTTTAAAAATGTCTAATTGGGAAAAGATCTATTCAATCCCCGTTCTTAGACATATTTTTGATAGGGGAATAATCTTTAAATCACATGAATAGTAGAAGACATAAGTCAAGTTCTAAATGAATAGTAGAAGACATAAGTCAAGTTCTAAATTGGTGACAACTTATTTAGATAACTTCATCCAACTTTCTTTTAAATGGAAATGTAATTATCACCAATAAAAAATGACATAGAAGAAACTAAAATAAATAAAATTATTTATAAGCTGTTTTACATATAAATTGAGCTATTGAATTAAAATGTGAACCCTATAAATCAAGGATCTAATCATGATAATGAAAGGCCATTGCTACAACCCTCCTAGATGTGCATTTCCCTAGATAGCCATATCCATCCATGTTTAAACCTTAGTTGCATTAAGCAATGTTATATCCATCCTTTCACTTGTGACAAAATTGTACTAATTAGCCTCCTCAAGATGATGGTACACGTGCTAAGAGATAATGGAGAGAATGAGAAGTGAGGAAAAGTAAAGTAAAAACCATGTGACATGTTCCTTTGAAGGTGCTTTGGAATTGTCATTAAATGGAGCGTTCATTTCTGGAGATAAACCACCAAAGGTTGGTGATGAAATTGTAGTTGACGACATGTTTGAGTTTGTCGTTGAAGTTGATGATGTGGTTGGTGTATTTGATCCTCCAGCACCACTAACAACATTATTATAAATGAAATGGTTAATTATTTACTATGAAACATAGACACCAATAACACCACAATATATATCATATATCAACACTACTAATAGTATAAAAAATTAATTAATTAAATATGATTATAAATTTATATAATTAATTTGTTAAACATAATTATTAATGTTGGTGTCGATTTTGAACACCTGATACGACACACATTTATTTATTCAGAGATGTCTTTGCTACATAAGTTAATTATTAGATTTCATTTATAATATTAATAACATATAGATGTGAAACAAAAATGATACTACTCCATGTAGTTCTGTGACCCCAACACACACTACAAACAATGATGATTCAAGCACGATCAACATCTTTCGAATGATCTCTTATTGTGTTAGAATAGGCATGGGCTTGTGGCCTTATTTATTTGCTTTGTCATGTAAAAATTCACATGTATTTTCCATTCCAACATGAGACATTATGATGTTTTCCACATCAATTACAATTTCTCACTGCTCAGTCACTTTAGCTATGTAAAAGTAATTATCGTACGATTAAGTTGAACCTGAGCCGTTGGATGGAGTGACATAGAAAAACTCGTCCAACGGTTTAAATTAGAAAAGGTCACAGGCATTAGCCACAGCGTGTCAGACAAATTGTGCAACCCAAGATTTTGAAATTTTGAACAACAACAGGACAAAAGAGGCCATGACAATACAATAGTACTAGTCCAATGCCTGTGAAATCACTTCAGATTTAAAAAAATTGTGCAAATTCTGATAGCAAAAGGTCATGCATGCCTTTCAAAAGCTAGTAAAAGTTTGTTTATTCTATAAAAAATTCGGGCAAACAAATATGTATGACAGACCCAATTCGTTTTGTCACAAATAATTAAATAAATTAGAGATAAATTTTCTATTTTAATGTGATTAAAAGGTAGTACACTACAATTAGAGTAGGAAAAAATGACACCATACCTATAGACAAGTCACTCTCACCACACTCATTACACACAACATTGAAATATAAACCTATTTCTAGTTCCCACCTCTATTCAGTATTACATGTCACCTTTATGGTACTTCTGTTTTAAAATGATTTTTATTTTAATAAAAAAAATTGTTTTTAAATTATTGTAAATAGTAATAATTACTATTTTTTCAAATATAATATTTTATGATAATATCATTATATTTTTTAATTTATTTGTGTATCAAAAACTTTAAATAAAAAATAATTTTAAAACTGAGAGAGTATTAGGTAAGGCATTAAAATCAGACGATGAAAAGTCAGCAAAGTGAAAGCCAAAACAAAATACATTAAAAATTCATTTTAGAATGAAATCCTTTTTTTACTTCAATATCAAGAAACCTAGTTTCACTTTCGCTATTTATAGTATATACTCTCCAATATAATAATATAATAGTACAGCATTTATAGAACATACCTTGTAGAAGAAGGGTACACACAAGATCCATAACCTATACACAAAAACACAAAATGATATAAAATATGTAGATATATAAATAAATAAATATAAAAAATGCATAATGTGTGGTTGATTTATACTTGGATCTGTTTGAGCAATGGTGGCGGTTCCAGAAAAGTCACAAGAACCAGGTGCTCTAGCTCTTTTTTGATAGTAACTATTGAATGCATAAGAAGCATGAGCTTGAATGGTGTTAGGAAGAAAACACAGTCCATCTGGTTGAAGAGGAAGACAATCAGCACCTGCTCCACATGCATAATCTAATGCTGTTTGTAGTACATTGTAGCTTGCATCACTTCTCACCACACACCAACTTGTACTACTACTAGTACTCCCTCCTTGACCCTTCACATTCATTGTTAGCATGATAACAATGGTTAATGATAATAGCTGACAAATTGGGGATGATGCCATTGGAGAATGTTTCTTGTTATATTAAGGATTTGTTTTGCTTTGGTAAAGGAAGAGAGAGAGAGAGAGAAAGTAAGAAGAAGAGAAGTGTTGGGAGGAAAAGGAAAAATATTATATAGTAGTGTGGTGTGGGAATGGGAATGAAATGAGAATAGAAGCAGCTTTAGCTTTCTTTTTTTTTTTCTCTTTTTCTTTTTCAGTATATATAGAAAAATATTGTAAATAAAAAAGAAAATAGATAGACAAAATTATACTCCCTCCATTTAAAATAATTATCGTTTAAATTTTTGCATACAAATTAAATAATGTAATGATGTTGTTATAAGATATTACACTTTTATAAAATTAATTTTATTAATATATTAAAAATAGTGTAGAAAATAAAAAATAAAGATATAATTAAAAAAATAATAATTATTATTACGATAAAAAATAAAAATCATCATCATTTTAAAACAAAATTTATTTATTAAAATGATAGTTATTTTGAAACATTTTAAAACAAAGCGAGTGAGTAGCTAGTTAGTAATTCATACTCAAATAACAAAATTATAGATTTCAACTTTTTTTTTAAGAATTTGTGTATTGATATGAATTATGTCACAAATTAAATTAGATTAGATGACCAAATCTATGTTTATCCTTTGTTGGTGGGTTACCGTTTTGATTTAGTATGTAGAAACCACCACCATAGAACATGATTTTTCACCTATCAATTAATGAAAGTTATTTGGCAGCTAAGATGAAAAACATACTTTATATGTAGCAGAATGTGAGAAATGAGGTGTAGAATGATGATCGTAGGATAAATAGGAAGGCATCTATTCAATCTCTTAAGCAGTCACTTGTAAGGACTTGATTTATCTTCACCGTCCTTATCATGCTCTACCTTTCTAAAGTGTTTGGCCTCGCGTTCTACTGAGTCTAGGCGAACGGCCCTGAACAATTTTCCTTATTCCCTTGTCTTTTGAAAAGGGAACGGTTTTATAATTGTTATATTTCGTATTAAGGGGAGACACAATAACTGACACGCGGTCCTTATTCTTACCGGTCAAGATTACAATATTTTTTATCAAACCTATTGTGATTAAGTAACTTTGCAATGGATCTTTCAGTAATACAAATATCCATACCAATTACATTTGTTGAAATTTCTCCTCTAAATTCCTTAGCCATAATCCAAAATTTCTTTATCAATTCAAGAATAATTGGTCAATTTAGAAGATCGAAGAAAATTTATCATCATTAAAAATCCACAGCTTCGATAAGATCAAACCCATTGACTTTGAGGTTATCAAAGTTCACGATTGACTCAGCAAGAACTGTCAACTGAGACACGAGAATGGAACATTGAAGATTAAGAAGTCCATCTTTCACTTGTGGTTGTTGTAGAAGAGACGATGAAGAACCTTGAACATCTTGTTGAGCAAATGAATGTTGTTGAGAAGCTATTGTTGAACCACGAACAAGAACCAAAAGGGTTTTAGGGTTTCAAAGAACTTGGCTTAAAAGAGAGAAAGTGTGGGATAGTGGTAGCGAAAGTGTGTGAAGTGAGAGTGAGTGGGTTTCAATTAGAGTTTTCGTAATGATTAAAAAATATTGAAAAGTGCAAAATTTCTAACAAGTGGTAAAGCGTGAAGATTTTTTACCTAATCCCAATACGATCTCTTCTCCCAATGAGTCACATCAAGTGTTAGGTGTGCTTCAGAAAAGACAATTGTCTTATTTTGAATTACCAACCTTTCACTATCCTGACAGCTCATTAATGAAGTAAACTCTCCAGTTTCCAACAGACAAATGCCTTATAGAGAGAAGATTTTAACCTTGGATACTTTTGATACATAAGACCTTCACTTATCAGAAGCCTCATATCACAGAAGCAACAAAAACAACAATCAAACCTTGGATTCTAATTTTCCATTCTGGAAAGCCAACATTCTGTAATTGCATCTTTTTCATTCTAGACACGAAACTATTTTTAAATGTTTCAGAATTAAAATGAATATATCTTCAGCAAGGGGTTTTGTAAATATATCAGCCCATTGATGGTCTATACCTATGAATTTTAAAGATAAAAGTTTCTTCTGAATATAGTCTCTTATAAAATAATATTTAATCTCAATATGTTTAACCCTAGAATACAAAATTGGATTCATGGACAAACAAATAACATAAGTATTGTCACAAAAGATAGGAATGTTACTCTTGAATATTTGTAATCTTTTAGTTGACTTTTCATCCAGAGATTCTGGGTGCTGCATCCGGAAGCAGAAATATATTCAGCTTTTGTGGATGAGAGTACCATTGTTGATTGCCTTTTTCTAGACCATGAGGTCAAATTATATCCCGAAAACGGATAGCTTCCAGAAGTTCTTTTCCTCTCTAGTCTATCTCTAGCATAATCAGTATCACAATGGCCTACTAACTTGTATTCACTTGATTTTCTATAACATAAACCAAGGTTAGTAATACCTTTTAGATACCTAAAAATCCTTTTAACATCAGTTAAGTGTGATTCTCTAGGATTTGATTGGAAGCGAGCACACAAGCAGACACTGAATAAAATATCAGGCCTAGAAGCAGTCAAATATAATAGAGAACCTATCATACCTCAGTATAGCTTCTGATCTACCTTACCACTTACTCGTCCTTCTCTAGAATGCAAGTAGGATGCATAGGTGTCTTTGATGTCTTGCATTCAGACAAGTCAAACTTCTTCAGAAGTTCTTTGGTGTACTTGCTCTGACGGATGAACATCTCTTCTGGTCCTTGATTGATTTGGATCCCTAGAAAGAAATTGATCTCTCCCATTAAGCTCATCTCAAACTCAACCTGCATAAACTTAGCAAATTCCTTCCACAAAGTGGAATTAGCAGAACCAAATATAATATCATCAACATATATTTGAACTATCATAATGTCATTTTTTAAGGACTTACAAAACAAGGTGGTATCAACCTTTCCTCTGGTGAAATCTTTTTCTAAAATAAAATTGCTTAATCTTTCATATCAAGCTATGAGAGTTTGTTTCAGACCATACAATGATTTCTTAAGTTTGAAAACAAAATTTGGATTTTTATGATTCTCAAAACCAGAAGGTTGGTGTACATACACTTCCTCAGTTATGAAGTCATTCAAAAATAACTCTTAACATCCATCTGATACAAGATGATATTGTGATTAACAGTAAACAAAATTAAGAGACAAATAGACTATAACATGGAAATTGGTGCAAAGTTTTATGTGTAGTCAATCCTTTCTTGCTAACTATAACCTTGTGCAACCAGTGGAGCCTTGTTTCTTACCACATCTCCTTTTTCATTGAGCTTGTTTCTGAAGACCCATTTGGTTTGAATCACATGAGTTTCTTTAGATCTTGGGACAAGATCCCACACATCATTGATGGAAAATTAATTTAACTCTTCTTGCATAACTAGAATCCATTATGTGTCTAGAAGCGCTTCATCAACAGAAGTAGGCTCTATAAGGGATACCAAACCCAGAAGCGTCTCTTCAGAAGGTTTGAAAGAAGATCTGGTTCTGACTTGTTCAGATCTATCACCCGTAATCAATTCTTCAAAATGTGAGTGTAGCGGTAGAAATGTTTAAGGCTAAGCCATGTGATTGACTAGACTTGCACAAATCAAAAATAAAATTGCCACCGCGCTTTATTGTTTCCAAAGGAATTGGAAAAGAGCGAATAACCCAAAAAAGGGGGAAAGATTCAAGATAAGGGGGTTGGTTATGTAAAGAGAAGGTATTAGCACCCTAAACATCTACGGTACTCCGCAGGAACATCTTTGTAAAATCTGTATATTTTGGCTATAAAATGTTGTATAAAAATGGATGGTGGAGGTGACAAAAGAAATATATTTTTTATGGTTTTTGTACCCGCCGCAGTTGTGAACCTTTAGTGCCTACGTACCGCCTTTTTGTGCAATAGGGGATCAGGGTACACATAGTTCCTCTTTAAAAATTTTAAAATATAAGTGTGTTGGTTAATTTTTATGAGATAAAAGATCATCGTCATTGTCCGTGTGGAAAACATACCTACTACCCACAATCATGAAAAATGAGAACTTGCATCATCTCAAAGTGGAGTATATGTCTTGGATTTTAAAATCAACAGTGCCTCACTCAACACCCAAGTGGAAAATATCTCTCTTCAATACATATTGTAGAAGTATAGTTGTTTGCATCACTACAAGGATTGACAAGAGTCTAATCTTTTGAGAAAAGTTTTAAAATAAGAAAGAAAAAATGGCAAAATAGCTTGAAATGAGATTGATTGACTTTTAGTCTTCTCACAAAAAAATGCCAAAGTATTATTAAGTTGATTGAAGTTTATTTATGAAAAATATTTTGAAAATGCATGGACATAAGTCCAAGTTTATTATGAAAGTGGTTCAAGTTTTAAAAAAAACAAAGAAGAGTTTTCAAAAGGAGGGATAAGATTTTTGAAATTAAAGATGATGGGAGAAGAAGAAGAGACTATCCTAAAGCATAAGGTAAAAGCTAGGGATAAGAACCATCTAACCAACAAGAAGCTAACACTTGACATTATGAGTCAAGATATAATTCCCACTCTTTTAATTGAAACCAAGCAAGCAAAGATACTAGACATCTTGAGAGAACCAAACTTCAAGTGTATTAAGTCTTCACAAAAATTGGGCAGAGTAACGGCTGTATACAGGTGAATTCCAGATCACAAACAAAGAGTGTAATCACAATAACCTGCACACAAAATAAACAAACAACCCAATGTCTTGAGGTAAATCTCAAGAGCTCCAGACAAAATAATCAGATAAGATCACAAGGTCTGTAATCATAGGCCAAGGTTTCTAATCCTAAGTCCAATAAGTCCAATGCTCCATAATGCCAAGGATAGTAGCCAAATAGTCCAAGTATCATTAAGGATTTTATGGTTCATATGGATTATTAAGTATCTTAAGAAAAGAAAAGAAAAGCTTAAGTGAGCAAAATAAAAAAATGACAAGGAAGTA